ATATGCATATTATTTGGAAATCACCTTTCAAATCGGACAGTCTTGGCAAGAGGTAATGACATTCTGACATACCGTGACAAAGGTACATTGGTCAAAAAAGATAAAGAACCATTGGTTTAATACATTTAGCATTTTCTGCACGTCATCCGATGATCTGTATTTTAATAAAATGTCGTCTGCAAATCGTAAATGATAAAAATATTCTCGGAGGATGCACCCAAGGCATCCCTTTCTAGTCTTTGAGATAGACAAAAATTTCTACTGACTTGGTTGCGCATATCTTTGTTTCAACTCAGTGAGATACTATGAATGATAAAGATTTTGATGAATTTTTTAAAATGGATGCTAAAGATTTTAATGCAATTTTAATGGATGTTACAGATTTTGATGAATTTTTAAAAATGGATGTTAAATATTTTAATAGATTTTTTAATGGATTCTAAAGATTTTAAAGATTTCTCATTATGCGCCATTTATCTGATCCCGTAAAAAAAGATTAACATTTTTTAGATATTTCGTTAGAAACAAAGAAAAGAGTAATAAGCTTACGTTTATTGATTGATTTGTTTGTTTAACGGCATATAAACTCCTTATGGGTCATTTAATGCTGAAATTTAATTTTATTGGGAGCTTTGAAGTAATCAAAATATGATATGTTATTCTGCTTTCACAATTGAATACATGGTAGATGATACTCAGCTTTTGTGCATACATATGTTTGTGTGGATATAATTATTAGAGGTGGTGATATGTGTATTTTATGTAATAGTTTTGTTGAAGTAATATTTTGGAATACAGCTGGCTTTCTTTAAGTTATTGTAGGATATTACATGGATTAATATCATGAAAAATTTCTTTCATGTTGGTTGTTTCGTTGATAGATTTTCAATTTACATTATTTGGACTATTCAGGTGGTTGGAATGTCGAACTGAACCCTTTATTTCGCTCACTGGGGTAGACTGTTCTAGTTTCACGTCCCATGTCTAATGGATGTCAGTTATCTCCTGTTAATTCGCCTCTGAAAGTTCTCCACTGCCTTAAGTAGGTATTGAACTCACACTCTTTGGGTCCTGTTAAAAAATACACACACAAATATTTTTCAGTTGAGCGTAGTAATTCTCATTTCTTATTTTTGATGTTATTTAGGATTGAAAAGCCGAATTCACAGAAATAAGAAGTAGAAAATTGCAATAAAACTGATAAAGTCTTTATAGGTAATGCATGATATTCCTTTTGTATTGAAATCCAAAATGTATCAATGGGTGATAAGCAGACCCGCATTTCTTTTTCAGTTAAGCGTAGTCTTTCTCGCTTCTTATTGTTGATGTTATTTAAAAAACTGATAAATTATTAAATCAAATGCTCACTGCTGCATATCGGAAACTTCGACAATATTAATTCATAATTCATTATAACTTTGTAAAAATTTTGGATTAAACAAAAATATTGACTACAGTTATATGAAAAAAGGTTAATATTCATTTATTGAAATAAAGGAAAATTTTAAAATTTAAATTTTTAAAAACTTAAACTTAAAAAATAAATATTAAAACAAAGTATTTAAAATAACATAATTGAACAATAGTGAAAAGAATTATTTGAAAAAAAAAAAGTTTAATACTTATTCATTTATTCAAATATTGACGTTGTACCATTACTTCCTTATATATATATATATATATATATATATATATATATATATATATATATATATATATGCAGTGACAGTATTTCGCGGCGTATTTAAGAGAATCGTGTGGCACACCAGTGAGTCGCAGCACGGCGGTTTAAAATCTTTGTTAGAAATATCTTTCCGTGTTAAATATATATACGAGGGAGATTCAAAAATTATGTGACTCTTGTCTAAAAAAGATATGTTATGGCGAAAGTATTTGGACAATTTTTTTTTTGTATATATATATATATATATATATATATATATATATATATATATATATATATATATATATATATATATATGTGTGTGTGTGTGTGTGTGTGTGTACATTTATATATATATATATATCTTTATAAATATAAATGACAATAAGAAAACTTTAATAGTTACAGTTTTCCTATTGTCATTTATATTTATAAATATTGTCTTTTCTACAGGTTAACTCTGAGAAATTTTCATATATATATATATATATATATGTGTGTGTGTATATATATATATGTGTGTGTGTGTGTGTGTGTGTATATATATATATATATATATATATATATATATATATATATATATAGGGGTGACCAAACTTGCTTAATATTAGAGCCACATGCTCATAAGTGCAGATGTTTGAGAGCCGCAAAGACATGAACAAAATTTATAGATACGTTTTTGTTACATACACGTGTGACCACACTCACCTCCCTCGCTGGCGCACCTTAATCTTTAATCTCCTTTAATCCCCTTACCCATGACCTCAGTTTTCTGACATTCTCCTGTAACATTTTTCACTAACCCTTGTCGAAGTTTTTGAAAAAAACAAACAACAGCAATAAAACAAACAAAAATAAAGCGGTAAACTAAATTTTCTAACTTAATTTGAAAATTAGTAACCTTAGAGAAATGATCCAGCTCACCTGAACAAAATTAACATAAAATGAGGTCAGAAGACAAATTTAGTATTTTCGGTTTAGTTCTCAGTGCCAGCAAAAAAAAAAAAATGGCGGCATCACCACCTATAGCGACGATGTGGATATAAATTTATTAGTTTGCTCTGGTTAGGATTGTTTTACTTTCTTTTGTTTTCTTCTTTCGTGGGTAGGTGACAGGATACAACTGAAACATTTGTGGTCCCCGGAGATTCTGTTACTGAAGCAATACCATCTTGGCAGCATTAATAGGTCAAGAGTTATAAGCTGACACCTGTGGCTGTATGCAAACAGGTAAATTCTTACGCAACGGACACACCTGTTCATCCGATTTTGTGTCCTATTTACCATTTTAAGAAGGCTAACAAATACCATTGTTTTTAGAAAAAGAAAACGGCATAGCGCCAACAGTTCAAAATTGGACGAAAAATAAAACTCGTACAATTGTAAAACAAAACAAAATGAAGGCTGAAAAAAGAATTAGAACTACATTTGATCTCAAGACGTACACGAAGTGAATATAGATAAAAGAAATCTACTGATATAGGTAGGAAGGTTATACATACACAGTAAATCGTATAGCAGTATACGTTAGCTAGCATGATGTACATATATACACACGTACATACATGCAAAAAGACGAACGTTACTACTGACAAACAGATAGAAGTGCAGTGTTTGCGCTATTTATAGCAGCTTCTATCGATGCTGAACTTCAAGAAAAAAATAAATAAATAACTGACGGGAGCTTTGGGGGCAATATAACCTGTAAATTAGCTCCAAACATATGACACGCGCCATCATGATGCATCTGTTCCGATCTTTACCGGATTTTCCCGATCGTGGCCGAATATTGCTAATCCAACAAGTGCTGCTACTATACGGAACAGGGACAAAAACAAAACCACTATCGCTGCGACAGCGTTCATTACTACTACTACTACAACTACTACTACTACAACTACTACTAATAATGATAATATAGAAGAAGAAGAAGAAGAAGAAGAAGAAGAAGAAGAAGAAGAAGAAGAAGAAGAAGAAGAAGAATACAGATAACGAACAAATGAAAAAAGTAGAATCATAGGAATTCACACTTGCGGACGTGGCTCAGTTATTGGAACAATGGGCTACCCGCTGAGGAATTCAAAGCTCCATTTTAAAGCGATTGCAGTTTAGTAGGAGAACATGTTGAATTCCCCTTCTGTCAGGTGGTCAGTCTGTTTTGTGCAAACGCGATTAATCTTCCGCCATAAAATCCCTGCTACAATCCACGACATTACAAGCAGAAAAAAAAATAAAATAAAATAAAAAGAAATACATACTCCATGTTCATCAAGGTCAGTGATTTACAAAAATGGACAGGCCCGGGCCGGTGATATTCATTAGCACAAAAAATCAGAGAGTTCACGTGGTACAGATAGTACAAGGATGAGGACTCACACTACTGATATTACTACTTCCGAGACTAGGTCTTGGAGAGTGACACATAAAAACAGGGCAGAACCCGGATCGTCATTTATGAGCAAAGATTATGCTGAAGCTGAACCATTATTAAAAAATAATACCGAGAGTCGTAAGAGACAAGCCACAGATAGAAAGAAGGATTATAGCTTAACCCGTAAACGCGCGTTTTTTTTTTTTTTTTTAGAAAGTCTAGTTTGAGTAAATGTTACACACTTGACAAAAAACGCAAATCAAAAATCGAATATATATATATATATATATATATATATATATATATATATATATATATATATATATATATATATACTACAGTTCAAAAGTTTCAAGCCACCCTCAGAATTAACATGGGATGAACTTGACAGAAGATTAAAAAAAAAATGAGCTCTTAGAGTCATTGAAAAAATGATAGAATTAAATTAAAGTCCTAGTTTTGTTTCATTTTCAAGTGAATTTTGGAATTCCAAAATTGCTTGAAAATGAAACAGAACTAGGGACTTTAATTTCATTCTATAATTGAATTAAAGTTTTTAGCTTCTGTTTTTGAAACATGGTAATTCCTGTGTAGCGATGGATCCATATTTTTAAATTAGTTAATTTATAATATTTATGCAATTGTAAAAAATTTCAATGAGCACTATTTTGTAAAAATAAAAATATTAATAAGAATATATATATATATATATATATATATATATATATATATATATATATATATATATATATATATATATATATATATATATATATATATATATATATATATATATATATATGTGTGTGTGTGTGTGTGTGTGCGTGTTTGTGTGTGTGTGTGTGTTCGTTCGTTTATACATATTGCATCAGAATGCTTCCTCAGCGTTGTTTATTCTGGGGTCATAGAAAGTTTCGGGCCTCCATGACATCAGACTTTCGTCACTATAGGCTTACGACTGCATCAAGTTGCAGCACCGGTTCCCGTACGATCACCGAAGTTAAGCAACGTTGAGTCTGGTCAGTACCTAGATGGGTGACCATTTGGGGATACAAGGTGCCGTCAGTTTCGATGTGCTGGTGGTATAATGGATAACGGCTCGGAAATGGAACCAAGTTGGGTTCGTTATATTCACTTACTTGCAAATGACCTTGGTAAAGGCATGAACCCATATCTTCAAGTGAAGTCATAATATGATTAAAAAAGATCTTTTAAAAGTTTTGCCAAAAATCTCATGGTCATTGTTCCTCTTTGCTGCCTCGACTTTACAAATGTTATTGCAGTACTAGATGTGCAGTTAGGTCCAATCTGTCTACACTTGAAATTGTTAGATCTAACCGTAAGTTCTATGCTAATAGTTTCTTCTCTCGCACTTCTCGGTTGTGGAATTCTCTTCCGGTCTTTTCTTTCCAGTCAATCTTTATCTTCTGTATTTTTTATTTCTGTTCCTTTTATGTTCTCTCTCCTTAATAGTATCTTTTTTTTTTCTCATATTCTTTCACACTCAGTAAGCCCTTGAACCGCGAGGGAGGCGCTTCTGGGCAAGTGTATGGACTTCTCCATCGCGCAGAGTTGTCCAACAAAATAAAATTCACGTGAATGGCCTCATCAAAATCTCTTTGATCTACGCCACTCCCACCAGGGACAGAGGATGACGACTCCGATGCTCAGGGGCCACCAACAAACCCATTCTATCTTAGTGGCTTTATTGCCTTGCTTGGGCGAAATGATTAAAAAAGGAGAGATAAGCATTGCTTCCTATTACGAGAATATTGATTGAATATTTCCGATTATGAAATAGTTGGATTATTCAGCGATATTTTTCATAAAATATGAGGAAAGAAGGTTCGGAGGATCTAACACGCGTAGTACATACTGAAGGTTACTGAACCAGGGAAAGTAGATATTAATTTGCTTAATCAACTCGGAATGGCTAGCAGAATAAAGACAAAGAGAGATGGTAAAGAGTTAAAAGTTATTTCGTGGAAAAAAAAGAAGTTGTGGAGTGCCATGATTGTCGACGTCCTGAAATGATACGAACGATAAAAGAAGATTTATTTTTTTCATTCACTTTCAGGCTAGAATATCAAAATTATTGTAAACCTGGTAACGAGGCAATCTTTTTCAACATTTTAGAGTTTTGAGAGTTACAACTGAGTTGGCAATTTTTTTTTTCCATTTTATTATACGACAATAAAGCCTCATGCATATTCACCCTAAATTTTACCCTCGTCTGACCCCGGCCATAATGTATCTATAGCACTTATAGTCTATTTTGAGGTTAATAAGTACCTATCATTGCATGATCGATAGCAAGCCAATCTTACAGGCCAGTTGGCTAATTTGGTGAAACTATTTATCACAGGCGCCACATGACTATGGCCTTGAGCCAGAATAAGTAAGTTAATGTTTGCTTCATCGAATATGAGTTAAAGCATAAAAGATCAACTAGCATAAATATGTATATCCACTTTGGGTTTAAAAAGAAATCAATACTGGCAAAGATTTTTATCGATATATTTACATTAAACTTCTTTTATGCAGAAAAATTACTTTCAAATTAGACTTAAAGAGTCGTGCATTTTGCGATATGGCCCATTACATTACTGTCTCCGTATCTATCTATTTATCTATATATATATATATTTATCTATATATATATATATATATATATATATATATATATATATATATATATCTGTGTGTGTGTGCGTTAAAATATAGTTTTAAGGTATGCTATATGTGTGGGTTAAAGTGGCCAATATTTTAGATAGAGCGTATGTAAATATAAAAGTGGACATTGAAGTCAACATCCAGAAGCAAGTGTCTGTTGCATACTTATTTCGCAAAAGGCAGGCATATTGTCTGACGATTGCGCATAAGCATCAAACAGGCTTCATTGCCCCTTCTCTCTCTCTTTCTCTCTCTCTCTCTCTCTCTATATATATATATATATATATATATATATATATATACACGCATACACACGTGTATCCACGGAAATATAACGTTCAAATCAATAATAGTGGATTTTAAAAAATCCTTTAACTCCTGAAAAATGCACACACACACACACACACACACATATATATAAATATATATATATAGAGAGATATATATATATATATAGAGAGAGAGAGCGAGAAAGAGAGAAAGAGAGAGAGAGAGAGAGAATTAATATACATATAAAGTTTGTTTCTTAGCTGATTGGTGTTAACTTCAAGATTCAAAACCCCAGAGTTTCGGAGACGAACCTACCATTAACCATTCCGCCTACTCTTCAGGGTATATATATATATATATATATATATATATATATATATATATATATATATATATATATATATGCATTTATGCACGGATACGCCCTATTAATTCTGATTTTTTTTAAACATTTTCAACTATATCTACCACCATGTGTAAAAATTTATATATATATATATATATATATAAATTTCGTAAATTTGTACTCAGTGGAAAAGAAATTTGTTTGCAAAGTGGCCAAAATAATGAAAATGGGTGAATTTTAACTAAAACTTCGATATTCTATCCAACAATGTTTTCTTAATAATCGTAAGATTGCTAAAATGAGGCGGAGTTGTCTTATAGACTCTTATGTCTGCTATCAGATATGAAATATATCAGCAGAGATAAATGTTTCTCTGAAAGTGAACTGCTTCGCCCAACGAAGACGATAACACATATTCAAAGATGAACTTGTTTTGCACATTAAGGTCACCTAATAACCATTTAAAAATAAATAAATATAGCAATTGCAGGTTGATAAAACATACATACAGTTCTAGCAGTACACAAATGCGTAGACATTCTATCAGTAAGTACCTCTGTCTATGATGTGTTAGTCTTTGTTAGCCTACTGATGTGTAAGGTATTCTTCAAGATGTTTGCCTTCGATGAGTTATTGACATCGCATTTTTTTATTGCTTCTCTATTTTGTCGAAACGTCCTGATTACTTCTTATATTCGTTTAGCCTGATTAAGAGGTTTCTTCCTTTATGTGCCATGTGCGATCGTGAGTTCGATCCCTGCTGGGTACGAATTATATTTTTTTTTCTGAGATTTCTTAAATGTGCAAGCCGATATAGGTAATACACATTGTTTGTTGTCGCTGTGTGTCGTACATCTGTGACCAGATACCAGACTCAGAGAATAAACAGGACTTCTGTCTTGAATTCCATTCTACGTAGTTGTTCAAGTCTCATTTAATTTAACTCGGCGTCTATTTAAAAAAACGACGTACTGGAATATATATATATATATATATATATATATATATATATATATATATATATATATATATATATAACTAGAAATCCGAAGTCTTAAGTCCTTGCTTACATATTAGAAAATTTCTCTTACGCACATATGAGGCTGGATAAAACAAGTAATGTACATTACAATTACCCTCGCCCACCGATTCATTTACGATACATTTCCTTTTCTTCTTCTTCTATATATGTCATATATTAAGAAATGGACAAAGTCCGACAATTTATTTATTAAAGACATTTTTATGTTTAACGTTCTTTTTTATAGATACAAGTATTTAAGTAAATGCTTTGTTTATAATAAATAGTATTAAATAACATTTACCGGCCTGAATGTCCGAGAAATTTTCAAAGAAAATATTCGTCCTTTGACAGGATTCGAACATGCATCCTATACGGAACCGTCATTTACGCTGACGTGCCTTAACCGACTCGGCCACAAAGGAGCGTTCGGTAGGCAAGGTCGAATTTACTGCTTATAAACTTCAATCTTCCATGAATCTCGTACATTCATAACTGCTCTGGCGTATCAAATGTAAACAAATGACATCATATATTAAGAAATGGACAAAGTCCGACAATTTATTTATTAAAGACATTTTTATGTTTTACGTTCTTTTTTATAGATTCAAGTATTTAAGTAAATGCTCTGTTTATAATAAACAGTATTAAATAACATTTACCGTTCGGTAGGCAAGGTCGAATTTACTGCTTATAAACTTCAATCTTCCATGACCTTAGATTTCCAATTCCAGTGGAGTTACTTACATTTAGCTTTCCTTCAGAAACCCTGGTAAAGTTTATTTAAGTCGTCTTTGAGTATAGAATCCAGAGGTTAGCAGTGAATATTTCGAAGACAGTAGGGAAGCGTTGTTCAGGTTAGCAGTCGATATCCCGGTAAAAGTAGCAGAGCATAGTTCGTCCTTCTGTTCCTCTTTGCCTGACAAGCTGGCACTGGACATTCGGATAGAGTAAACAAAATGGCCGCCTTTATACACGACGGATTGAATATTCTACGTCTTCTGATTGGTTAACCTTCTATTGGTGGACTATAAAATGAGTCAAGTCATTTGGGTTGGCTCACTAGTAAGTCTAATGTATCCAAAAATTGTAACACAGGTCCTGTCTCTAATAGATGCTATAGACAAAATGACTATAGTGGATATATAAAAAAAACTCAAGCAGTAGGCTTTATATTAGCCAGGTGGTTGTTATGATAATAATTCACAACTTATCTATATAGATCAATCGCTAAAGATGTTGTAAAAATATTGAGATCCTTGTTCCGGTTCAAAATGTACTTGTCGTCAGGGTCACACTCTATTTTTACGAAGGCCAGATTAAACCCCAAATGGATACACAACTTAACAGCTGACATGTCACTTAATTTTCAGTTCCTTTTAGATTTAACCTTTTAGAAATGATGGCAGCGAGGCTTAGTTTTGGATGAAGAAATTTATCCTAAAGTGCCTACTAAAAGTTTGCAAAAGGAAAACGGTCGAGGAGGAAGATTGAAACTGATCCATTTGCGCGGCTTACCACTACTCGAATAAAAGATAAGTTTACAGCAGCTGGAAGTGTTCAGAAATTTCCACAACAACACGGACATCGACAAACGGCACAAAACAAGAAAAGATACTAGAAACATATCATCAGAGAAAATCTATGCGGCAAGCGAACTGTGAGATAGAAATTTCTAAATCAAGCATCCATCAGATTTTGAAACGCTATCGTTGAAAGAATTGCATTTCTAAAATAGTCCATGAACTCAAAAAA